ACATGTGAATCGCAGCAAAAATGTTGTGGTTTTAATGAAGAGCGGCTCCGTGTAAACAGGGCCTATAAACAGGACTGTAAAGACCGAGACGAGCTGTTCCACAAGCTGTTGAATGGCAAGGTGTTGTTGTCTCCCCAACCCCATTATTATAAACCCTGACAGATTTAGTTAAACACATTTAGCTAAATCAACTTACTGCATTTTAAGCAAAGTGTGTTTGGGGAAACAAATGTTTTCATCATGGAAAATTGGCCCTAATGTGTGTTTATACCACAGATCTGTTTGTTCAATCCAAATGTGGAAATGAACCCTTGCGGAATTGGTTTGAAGTGTACATTTATTTGGAAAATATAACATACACTTCATAACAGCAAGAAAGCCTGGGTTGTTTGTACTGATTTGGATCGAGATGACAGCGTCGTTCAAAGGATGGCAAGAGCTCAGAGAATTTCAGTTGATAGTTGGGAAAAACAACTAATTTGCCTTCGGTGTGTAGAATCTGGCACTGGGATTTAACGATGATTAGAAAAATATGATCATAAGACTTGACTGAACATTAATGGTGGGATTCCCTGGTTGCTTTGAGACTTATGATGCTTAGGAAAGAATCCCCCCCCCCCCTAATTCTAAACTCATGCTGTTTTTGAAGTCAGCAGAGCTTACAGGAAATTTCTTGGGAAACAGTTAGAGCGATAGATTTGATGACTCATTTCCAGGGACCCTTGTCTCCAGTTCAGCTAATAGCGTCTTCTTTGTTCGACCTGTCAAGAAACAGATCTGTTTCTCATTATCGATGAACTCAAACTTGTCAGTGTTTTTCCATTTTGAAAGGTTAGAAAATATTATTTAAACTCTACAAGAAACTCGATTTAAACAGCTGACACCAAAATAATACTTATTGTGAGGTTCAACAAACCAGTTAGTTTCTTTTAGCATTATCTTGCAGTAAGTAGCCAGTAGAATATGCTTCTATGCTGTTTATTCGGACCATTCCTGACCATCTGAATGGTGCAGTTGCAATTGAGACTTGTATGACCAGGCAGCAGTTTTCCATACTGTCTTTGCTAAATGCTTGACACTGTGTGAACACTAGACTTAGTTTTCTGTTCTCACTGGGCAAGAGTCGCGACTGGTGTGGTCTTCTTGCTACTGTAGACCATCAGCTTCAAGATTAGACATGTGTGTTAAGAGATGATATTCTACATATGTCTTACATTATTGCATTGCAAACAGCTTTAACTTTGATTTATTCTCACACTTATTTTGGGGGGAATCTCAGTGCCCATATGGAACTTGTTTATTGTAGTTTTTGTGTATTTCGATCAAGTGTGAGCCATAGAGACAAGACTGGTTATAATTTAGCTAATTCTCTAACTAAATAATTAGTATTCAATGTTTTCATCCATTGTAGTTTTGAATTTACATGGTCTGAGTGTCAGACGGGACATATCAGACAGGAACATTTAGTATCTCACCTTCAGTTCTTATACTAATGCCTCAGCTGGCTGCCTGTTCTTTTATTATGTGCACAACAGCAATGATTGCTATATGCAAATCTGTGTGAGGCAAGATAACACACTTATCTAAAGTACATTGTTGTATTTACTTAAATTGTAAAGATAATGGGAGCATAAGCTGAGTGTTTTTGATGGATAAGAACCACAATGTAATTAACATCATCTATACTTATGTTCTTACAAACTTACATTTTTGTTGAAAGTCACTATTTAGAAGAAGAAACGTAGCTTTATTACTGGATTCCAGAACGGAAAAGGGTCTCCAATCAGTGGTCAATATTTCCTCTCAGTGTTAATGACTCTGCTAATGATGCCTGTGAATGTAAAAACTGTCAGAATCAACATTGCTGTCAGTGTCGCATTTAGGACTGAAAGAAACAATGGCTGAGCTGAAGCCTCTTCATTGTAATGGACCTTTGCCCCCTGTGGACAGCTCTCAGCAACTTACAATTACCATTAAGATGCTATGAGACTGGGAAAGAGTTGAGGCCCAGTGTCATCCCACTTTACTCTTAACCGTAACAAGAACTAGTTTTGCCTTGCACAACTGATTTGTGTGGCATTTGCAAAATACCTCACAAATGTTTTGCCTACTCCAACTTTCTTCACATAAATTTCATTTTATAAGGAGCAAAACTCCAAAAAGGAAGACTAAAACCAGACAAACCACTGGACCTTATAACTGTTTTCACTCGGGTCGTACACATTAGCTGTAAGTTGTATGTCTGTGAATAGGGGCTCAAAGGGATCCAACATTGTATCACCCTGGTTATTGTTCGTTTTTTTATGTCCTTCAAGGGGGAAATGATACATTTCCTCTGAATAAGCTTCTGTGAACATTCATCTCCAGATGACATTTTTATATTCAGTTCTCGGATTTATTTATTTATTATTTTTTTTGATGAATTTTACTTCCCGCATATCCGTTGTTTTCTGTTTGGAGTGTTTCTTTAGCCAACCAGTGGGAAACCAAAGAAGAAATATGATATTTATGACATCACACTGCAATGGATCTGTTGCTGCTACTAGAAGAAAAGAAGAAAGTATACTACATCCTGGCAATGTAGTATACTCTGGCACAGTGTTCATGTATGTTAAGTATTGCGACAAAGAGTTGATTCAAAGACTTTGAAAACATGTGCATAATCCACAAGAACAGAGAAGTTAGTTATTTTGCTCAAGGCTGCAAGGACAACAACAAAGTTCTTCTTGATGGTCAGGAAATTTTACTCTAAACAAGCATCAAAATGCAGACTTCCCAGGAATTCCCACACTGCAGCACTTAATGTTTCTCAGACACCACACAAGAAAAATTTTCTGCCCAGAACATGAATCAATAACAAGCCACAAGAGCTTGTTCCCAAACCATGGCTGCAAGAAGTGATGCAAATTTCTTGTTACCCTGGAAAAGAGAACAGATTTCTCTGTTGCTGTGAAGTATACGCTGGGATTTAATCATTTTGCCACGTTGCGCTTTAGAATATTCCCCCTGACAGAAGTTTCTGGGACTCACCAGCAGCTGCAGCTGAAGCAAAAGATGGAGCTCTACTTCAACACATTGTTCATGTTTAATCTTTGTGAACTTAAAGAAAAGAGTGACTTCCTCGTAAGTAAAGAAAAAAAGAAAACACAGAAAGTAAAGATGTTACCCTTGAAAATGTCCTCTATATTTTGGCACTTAAATATATTATTCTCAAAAAAGCACTTAGCTTTTATAGTTTACTGATGCAGCAATTTTAGCTCCAGGAAGAGCTCAACACAGTACTACATTAAAGAGATGCAAAACACTCCAAAATTGGACAAATCATTTTCTCAGTAAAAGTCACCCTAAACTACCCTAAAATAAGTTTAGTGCACTCCAAAAGCCTCCATATTCATCATCTCAATCAGGTGAGCACTTCTGACATGTAATTTCTGTAACTGGTCCAAAATGGGCTCGATAAATAAAATATAAATAAAATATTGCCCACTGTTGCTCTGACTGATAGTCAGGGTTTTAGGAATATAAAAGCTTTCAGTGATTTATTATTATTATTATTTTAATTTTCAGATCCTTTTGTAAAGCGTTAACCCCATGCAGAGTAAAGGATTATATTGGCTGAACAAACCCTGCGGCCATTGTTTGCAGCTCTGGATTTACGATGACACGCTAGCTGTCAATTGTAGGCCCAGAATCAATTGTAAATATTATGTAAAGTTATAAAATCACAGTTTGATGTTAAGCCAGGGGCCCTGTGTGTTAAAACAGCACAGGAATTGAAGGGATTCTCTAAAAAAAAAAGTATAAAATGCTTGGAACTTCCATTTTACTCTCCCCAATGTTAACGGGCTGTCCTTTCATTTGCCAAATGGGACAAACTCCAAATGAAGCCTGTTCTGCTGTAGCAGAATTTGCATGTGAAATGAAAACAGCAACATTCAAATTACATTGTCATGCACCAGTGCAGCTGTTCAAATTGGGTTCCCCTTTAAGACCTAGGTTCATATTTATCACGATCTCCAAACAGGCACAATATTCAGTATCAGAAAATATTAGAAGTTACTGTTGTTGAGGTTAACTGAGTGGACTTAACTGTTAATGTTTTAGAAAATTGGGGGAGAAATAAGAAAATGAATTATGTGGATGATATTTTCAAACACAAAATCATTTGTTTAGAAAAAGCTACTTTGTCAGAGACTCCAATCACCTTTCTCCAAATGTGATTGGAGAAAGGTTTTCACTTTACTTTTGTAGTGATCATTACTGATATATAGTGTTTCTTGAAAGATTACAGTTAGTGTCTGTGGCTCTGCTCTTCTGGGAGAAAAATGCATAGGAATAAATATTGGTTTTCATTAGTATTCACAGCTTTCCTGCCTGTGAGAACTAATGGCTGATGGTAATTACTCTTAATGAGATCACGGGGTTGTCTGCTGGGTGTGTTTCTGCAAATTGCTCCCAGCAAGGGATCTGAAGCAGGATAGGGTTGGGGGGTAAAGGTAGGGGCCCGGAGCTGTTTGCTTAGCGTTTTGGGGTCAGGACCTTTAGTGGCAGCACTTGTCACTCGGTGAGCAGTGAAACATGTCATGCATTTGTCGTCTTTTGTCCTCCTTGTTTGTTTGTCTAGCTGAGATAACCACACAGAGGTGGTGCTTGTCTTGGCAGCATTGTCAAAAACTCTTGTCAAAGCCCCATCTCCCCTCATTTGCTGCTTTGCTACTTGTCATTTGGCCAGTATTTTCTGTCTGCAGGGGGTAGCTCAGGCAATAAGTTAATCCATTAAAAACTAATTGTCTCCTCCTACCCTGTTGCTTGGACAAACAGCGTAGTGAGGGGGAAGTTGAGCTTTGTCGGCCTATAAAGGTTGTACGGGTAGAGAAGCTGGCAAGTGTCACTGCATGGATCACCTCAGTCGTTTCTGAGAAAAAGCCGGTGCCTTCTTGAAGTTTCTCTTTTCCCAATTCCGAGGCAGCCTGTATAACTTATCTTTTTGCATCTTTGGGATGTTGGGGGAAATGAATCTGGTTCTCCTGTTTGTGTGTTTCTCCGGTACTGACGCCAGTATTTGGGCCTGGATGCTCAACATGCCTCACGGCCCTCCCAAAGACGGAGCTAAACCTCTTGGAGAGAACTCTCCTGTGGCCAAAGCACTCACAGTAAGAGTTTCTAACCTTTGTTTTAACGCGTTGTTGTGTAAAAGTACTCAGTTACACATCTTGAACAGGAATTTTTAAGAACTTCATTTTTTGTGTGTGTGTGCAGACTGAGTGCGACAGCGACAGAACTTGTGGACGCGGTTTCTCGTGTGATCGTCACTTCGGTCTTTGTGTGCCTTTACGTGGAGAGGGTCAGTACTGTAGGAGGGATACTCAGTGTGTCCGTGGACTCCTCTGCATGTTTGGCGAGTGTCATCGCAGCATTCCCAATGGACAAGAGGGTAAGGATATGAACATAAAATCAAATCTCAAAGCCTTTTCAAGGAAAGTATGGGGTTCGTTTTCAGTATTTTCCAGGTCTGGATAAGTAGGTTCTTTCTTTTTCCTTTCCTTTTTTATGTCCTTCCATCATCCCTTTTCTTTGTGTTCTTTCCTTCATTCCGTCCTTTTTCTTTCATTCTTCGCATCCTCCTTTCTTTCCATGCAGCCTTTTTCTCATTATTTCCTTTCTTCCTTCCTTACTTCTATATTTTCCACATTTCCTTCTCTCTTTTTGTCTTTCCTTCTATATGTCCTTTTATCTTATCTTCTTTACGTGTTCCCTTTTTTAAAGTTTTTTCAGTCAAGCGTCATATTTAAACCGGTAAAAATGTCTGTAGTGAACTTTGGTATTTCAAATTTTGAGAAGAACATAAAGCCCTATAAACCCTGCAAAATGTAATCTCCAAACATTTTGAAAAAAGCGCAGCCAACCTGCTGTCTAATTCCTTTGTTTTCTGAATCAGGCTCCAGGTGCAAATCTGACAGAGACTGTGGGCCTTTGATGTGTTGCGCTCGACATCATGGCGAGATGGTGTGCAAGAAGCGCCTGGCTCGCCATGAGAGTTGTTATGTTCCTGATGGTGGCCTGGCGTTCAGCATCAACCAGATCTGCCCGTGCGAGGAAGGTCTGCTGTGTCGGGAAAACAGCAGGCAGAACCGCAGAGAGTGAGTACTCCCATTTAAACTGAAGTGGTTCCCCTAACAGACAACGAATCACATGGAAAGTCGTAAAATGAAATAAAATTTAAAAAAATAAAAATTCTCAAAGCTCAAGGGTTTATTTATCCATATTTAAAAATCCACTTAAACATTAGCAGAAAAGTACTGTCTTTACTCTTCTTACAATGTTCTTTGAATTTTATTTCATTTATTTTGGAAGAAAATATTGGATGATCAAAACATAACTTAATGTTTCTCATCTTTCAGGAAGGACTTTACTTACCAACCAGAAGGGACAAGATGGACCTGCCAAGGGCCCAAACCTTAACACAAGACCTCAAGATTAAATCTATTTATTATGTAAATATGATGTACAGAATAAATGTTTGTATTTCCATATTCTGTTTTGAAAGATTCTGATAGATTAATGTAGTGAATATCTATAAAAGCACTACTTTGCTCATGTAGCTGGTTTGAACAAGGCTTCAGTCTCATAAAATACCTTCTTTGCGTATTTAGTGATGTTTTCAATGAAAAATAAAAGTGTGGTATGTATTTGTAATCAGACCCCTGATTAAATATTTTGTAGAAACACTTTTATATTCTGTGTTGACTCTTATTTGGGTATGTCTCTACCAGCCTGACACATCTGCGGACTCAAAATGTTGCCCACTATTCTCTGCAAGAAAAGACATGAACAGTTACTTTGTCTCCTTTCTAAGCACAATTCTTGTCGCACGTTTTTGGATCCCCTGGTTCAGTTGCATAACGCGGAGGAATCCAGCAACTCTCAATTGTTAGCATCAACAGGTGCTTGAAACACTAGCTGTCCCTTTGCGCTCTCTGATAGATCCGTATCTTCTTCAGTCAAACCTTTACCATTCCCCCAGTCGCTCCATTTAGATGCTAATTGTCTGTAGCTGGACTCTTTCAGATAAAAGGTTACTGAGTGCAGTTTTTCTGTGAGCAACTTTGGTGTCTTCTCATTGTTCAGAGTTTATAAAAATGGTAAAGAGACTTTGATATTGAGGCAAGAAAATGCATTAAATCTTAGAAGTGAAAGTCTGGTGCAAATAACAGGTATCTAGTGGCTTAACAAATGTAACTGAGAAACAATGAAAAAGAGCCATTCTAAGACATAAGCCAATGTTACTAATTATTAGTTGGAATGACTAATAAGAAAACCATAAGACAGCTAGTCTATAGCATAAAAACAAGCCAATAAGGAAGCAGATTTCACACACACACACACACACACACACACACACGCGCCCACACACACACACACACCACACACACACACACACACACACACACACACACACACACACACACACACACACACACACACACACACACACACAAGAAAGCCAGGCCAAACAAAAGTGATATCTAATGGCACAAGACTGAGGAACCTGATATTAGTCAGTGCTACAAACCCAGAGGCCTATCAGCTGAACTCTAGAACACTGCTCTCTGTGTATGCCTCACCATATCTGAGCCACCATCACATTTTAGAGTATCTTTACGTGTCTGTTTGATCCACTGTGGGATTAATAAGAGACTACACTATTCAATATGCAACTTTATGGGTTCTCATGTGATGGAGGCCAAAAGGACCCAGATGTCGAACCCTCTCGGCATGTTTCTCTTTTTAACAATCTCATAAAGTGGTGCTGGTAAAACTAAATAGGCTGTTAAGGGTTTAAGTGTGTCATAAAAAAAAAAAAAAAAAATCATTGTGTATTTAGAATTGAATGGTATCGCCTTCAATTAAGTACTAGTTCTGTTTGGACACATGCAGGTCATGCAATCAGATTTATTGGACTATTTTTCTAATTTCTTCCATGTTCCATCAAAATAAATGGCAGACAAAACTAGTTTAAGCACATGCAAAGTGTTGATTCCAGATGATGATTTCAAACTTTTTATATTTTTGTTTTTGAGCCCCTCCAATGACCTGGCTTTGGTTCTTTGTATTATTATTATTATTATTATTTATTATTATTATTATTATTATTATTATTATTGTTATTTTATTTTGCTGTGTATCCAAAGTTAGCTTAAGTTTGAAGTCTGGATATTCTTCCTCAAAATTAATGGTTCCATCAATTATGATGCAGTTATTCAGGTCCTGAAGCAGCAAAACAGGCCCACCCTGTCATTACCTGCAGGGCTTTAGATGTTATTCTTTTGTGGATTATTCCTGGATTTGCTCTTGGAGTTGTTTGGGTAGGCCAGTGACTCTTGCAAGTTTTTACTTGAGTTCCATGTTAACTTCACCTGTGGATGTTGGCTATCACTGTTTGATGGCATTCCAACACTAAGAGACGGCTTCCCAAGATAGCTGATAGATGTCAGTATTTCCTGACTTTCAGTTTCTTTGGGCTCAGCTATAATGTGCTGCTTTTTGAGATCTTGTCTTGTTATCAGAAAGGTTCTGTTTTGGACAATTTCTCAATTTGACATGGTGGCATAGCCAGTTGATAGATTTATGGAGGGCTAATTTTTCGTTAAACTGAACCACCCTTTCGTTTTAACATGGATTAACGTTATCTGATATTGAAACTGTTTGACAGGAAACATCATTTGTAACAACGAAGTAAAAACAGAATAAATGTAGGGAGCAAAAACATTTTCAGTTCTCTGTCGTATACAGATAAGACAGTTGCGCCTCATGTAATGACCTATTAAACACCAAAAATTAGAAGTTTGCATGCAAAATTGTATAAAAAAGAACATTTCTTATAAAACATTGAAAATAAACCGCTAAAGTATCAGGAAAGTTTCAGATGTTGAGATAACTTTTATTGAGTTCATAAAGTTTTATTTATTTATTTTTTTTTGTGTGAATATTGATATAATATTAAGTTTTTACAGAATGTGACTTCCCTTCGAAAACGTCACACTTTGAGTCTTTTCCATCCCACCCTTTATTGTCAGCCTTTAATTCAAAACCTCTCAGTGACCATTGTATAAACCTTGGATGTTTCTTTTCACCAATCTGCAGAATAGGTAACACTAATGGTCATTTAAGAGTCTTCAGTCTAAGGAGCACAGAGGGCTTTTGTGAAAAGCTTCACAATGGACCTCTTAAACCAGTCATGCCAGTGGGAAAATTGGAGACAGGAGAATGATTGAAAGCCGTTTACCCTTATCTACCACAGTATAAAATGCCTCCTGGAGTTGACTCAGAGCTAGTTTACAGACAGCCTGCAAAAGAGATATGGTGATTCTCTGACATTCAGCGGGCTAAAGGTGTTAGCTTTGTAAGGTGAGACACAATTTCTTTTTTTCTTTTTTTTTACAGACTTTATCTTATCCCAAAATGTTTCGTTTTTTTTTTTTCTTTCTTTTTTTTTTCTTCTTTTTACAAATTCTCAATTTTCCTTTGCAGCATCTCACCATGGCTTCATTTGTTGCACTGTTACTGAGTTTACCTGTTGCACTGACATGCGCGCCACAAAAAGCAGGTAAAGACCAGATTTGTCAAAAGGCTAATATACGCTTTCACTTTCTTATTAGACTCAACCAGAACTGCTGAAAATTCCTAAAATTGAAAATGATCCTTATATTTATTTATTTATTTTTTTTTGCAAATCATTTAAGTCCAAAATATGAAATAATTCAAGATTGATTTTAATAGTAAAAATAGCTTTTTTTGCCTTTCGTCTTTAGTTAAGTGTTGAAGTCAGACTAAAAAAAATTAAAGAAATAAAACTCTTGTCAAGAAACTGAGAAAAAGCCATCTTTTTTTTAAAGTTATTTTTTGATAGATTAACTTTTTAAGTGGAAAATTAGCTCATTATAAAAGTTGTTACAAAATGCCTGGTACATTTGAAGTCTGTTTGATTTGTATTTCAGACTATGTTGTAGTCTCCTGTTTTCCTAACGCCATCATCGCCAATGTGCCAGAGTGTCCTTATGGCTGGGAGATAGACCAGCTGTCCCTCGGTGGAGTGTGTTACACTGGAATACACAGCCCAGGGTACTACCGCTTCATTATACCAGATCTAACACCGAGAAACCATTCGTACTGTGGCACACAATCTGAGGTACGGACATGCAGAAGAAGAAAAGCAATGTCGATGATAAGCTCATCCAACGCTTTTCCTGGTGTTCTTTCCCTTCAGTATATGCCAGGCAAAGATGCGAAGTACATCTTCTACAACTCCATCGTATCCAACGATACTTCGCTGACAGTCAGAAACCAGCCGGTCAACTACACCTTCAGTTGTGTGTACCGAGCCGCCTACCTGGTTAATAACGCAGTGTTCAGTCAAAGGTAAGCACCAGCTCAAGACACCATTCAACCAAAAATACTCTGAAGCATCTGTGCATGCTGACACAATGACTTGTAGTGTTTTTACTAAACCCTCTGCTTTTTCTAGAGTTGCTACAGTTTATGTCAACAATGGGAGTTTAGGGACTTTTAGATCACAGTTGTCTATGAACGTGTTCACGGTGAGTTGCTGCATTATAGCTTCAGTTCCTCTCCTGGACGACACTTCTGAAATTCACTACAAAAATGTCTTTCTGGAAGCACATGTTTTGTGGGCATGAGTTTTTATTTTCTTTCATTTAAAATGACTGCATGATGAAAAGGGCACCGAAAATCCTGTATTTCATAGAACTCTAAGTTCCTGTATGCTAAGGACGCTCCCTACGTGATCGACACCTCTGAGATTGGCTCTGAAGTTTTTATCGGTATTGAAGCAAAAGGTCTAAGTAATAGGTATACAGGCATTTTCTTTAATGATTAAACTTGAAATAACATATAATCACAATACCAAATGCTGAATCCAACTGTATTAAACCACCAGGTTCAAAGTTGTTATCAACAACTGCTGGGCGACTCCAACTCCTTACTCAACAGACAGAAAGAGGTGGAGTCTTATTATCAACAGGTGAATACACATTTAGTGTCTGTCGATAAGAATCCATTCCTTGAATGTTATTTGTTTGTGTAATAACCTCTACATTTTTGTTTTCTGCCAGCTGTCCTGCTGACTACACGGTGACCATTTTCGATAACGCCAAAGATAGCCGCTCCACGTTTAAGTTCAACTCGTTCCGCTTCCAGCGACTGGAGAAGGTGTCCACTGTGTGGCTCCACTGTGAGGTCCACATCTGTGATGCAGAGAGGCTGGTCTGTCAGCCTGTGAGTACATTACACATATGTAATCACAAACATGAAAAGACTTCAATGGTCTTCAAACATATCTTAATGAACAGGTTTATTCGCATTGCACATTTCAGCAACAAGGCCGATCAAATTGATTTACGTCATAAAAACGCAAAATTCAACAACTGAAATATTGCATTTTTTCAAGTTAGTATTTGATTTATTGAGGTACAAAAGAAACTCTAAACAGGTGAGTTTTTAGTCATCATGTAGATTAAATGGAACTCATTAACATTGTCAAAAGTTAATATTGTTGCTTTTCTCTGAAGAGTCCGTGCTCTAAGAGGTCCCTGTCATCAGAAATAGAACCGAGTGGAGGGATCCTCACCACTGAGTTTCAGATTAAAGGTATCATACATTCTTTTATATGATGTTTCAGTAAGTTGGGTTGTTCTATCATATGTTTACATAATAGAATAACCACACTAAAACTGAAATAAAACTGAAATTAAATAAAATAGCTAATATTTTACACACTATTGTCTTGATTTCTTAACAGCCAGCGAGTCTTCTAATAATGGGCACACAACAGGTAAACACAGGAAGTAACAAAACCTGGCTGAATTGTGTTTGAACAGTGACATTCTGGTCTATCATTCTTTTTTTTTTCCTTTTTTTTTAGAATGAAACTTTTGAATTTCAACAAAGATTAATTGATGTATTTTATTTTTCTGTTCTACATTATGTTTAAATATTGTCTTATAAAAGTGGGTTGAAAGGGGAAGAAATCTACTGGTAAATATGTTGTGAAAAATGTTCATTGTTTCTTAGTTTGTCTGTAATAGTTTTTTTTTTTCTGTGTCTCTTCAGGGACCTCTCTTCTCATCCTACTTATGGTCACAATGAACATTTTCTTTGATTTAGTAAACACATCGGAAATATAAAACAATAAATATCTGTTGAGTATACAATATATGTTCAGTCACAAAGCGAAGTGTCACCCCAAGACTCAGGGAGCGTATGAATACATTCCCCAGTTAAAGGACTGATTTGCATTTAGTATGTCTAGAAAGACTTTTTTTTTTAAAAAATATACGTGTACTTTTATTTCCAATAAAGATAATTAAAAATGTTTTTCTGTTTTCTTGAAAGCAAAAAACCCCCAAAAAGTTTATTGTTGGTATTTCCTTTTTATAGGTAAATAATTACAGTTCAGGAACAAGAATACAACCAAATCAAGAAGAACATAAATGAGGTAGCAGAAGTGCTGATGCATTAGAGAAAAACAAAATAAACATAATTCATTTTAGTCATAAAAAGTTTAATCTAGAGGAGATAAATGTTTTATTACACATGTATTTCACAATAGTATATCTTTCTGAGGTATGTTTTCATGCTTTTTATTTCTGCAACATGAAGCCAAACTGTCAAAACTTCACAAATGTTCAGATCAGCACAGGACTTTCTGTCATTTATGAGATGGTCGCTTCATTATCTGCACTTTAAGCTGAGAACAAAGAGAGGCTATCTTTCTGTCACAGTGGACATTAATTTAAACAGCTGATTTTTGCAGTCGACTCAAAAATATCTGCATGTTTCTTACTGAATTAGAAGAATCAATATCCTGTGAGTTGAAATTAGGTATGTACCCATATGACAATTTGAGTCTGTATTGATATCGGCCAATTTACAATAGTTACCAATATAATTTACATTTCACTAGCCTGTCGAAACTATGATTAAAAAAAATTTGAAACAGCAACAAGATAGGAATATTTTTACTTATTAGACCAACATGTAAAAATGAAATGTCTTACATCACCACCTATAGCAATGTTGTTGGTGATACATTCCCTTGTAAAAAAGTAAGTATCTGTCGACAAGAGCCTCAGCTCTTTCTACTGTTGAAGAGGTCATCAACGATGTCGTCATTCTTGCAACAAGTACATGGAATAAAATCACTTCGTGAAACAGTGTGTGAGACAGAGAACACCATCCTGCCTCTTCTTACAACACCTAAACATGCACTGTGGTCATCGATGATTTGCACCGGATTAATTGGGACTTTGCAACTGCAGATCTCATCACTTCTTGTTTCTTTGGAAGGGAGAAGTAACAAAGAGATAAAAGAGCAAAGCATTCAGGAGACTATGCATGCTGGGCAGATGTTGCCATGCAAAAAATTTTATTCCGGTTCAACTTTTTTACAGTATTTTGGAGTACCACCACAAATATCAGTGTTTATTGAAATACATTGAAATTTGTGGGTGTACTCTGACATGCTCTAGGATCTCATGGGATAAACCAAATACATGCTATGCATATTTGTAAAGCACATTTTCATCTATGTGTTAAATTTTTCCACAACCTTATCTCTGACCTGTCTGCTGTGTTCCTTGATCTTTTTTATATATTGTTTTCTAATAGACCTCTGAGGCCTTCCCAGAACATCTGGATTTATGCTAAGATCACATTACCCACATGTCGACTCTATTATTCTAAGACGGTAACTTCTCAAGGGTATCAAACCAAAGTGGGTGGAATACAAATGCAAAAACCCCTTGCAGATTTTTATTTTATTAAAAAAATTAAAATTAAACCATCTATCCTTTCTTTCCTCTTTACGGTTATTTGATCATTTATGTTCGTTTATCACATAAAATCCCAGAAGTTTCTGGTTGCAATATAATAACATGTGGGAGAGGTCAGGAGTGTGAAAACTTGTGCATGGCACCATAGACAGACTTTCACGCAATATTAAGGAGACATTTCAAAATAAATGACAGAAAATATTCAAAACCTTTTTTTAACTGAAAACCATCCAAAGGCAATTCCTTAACTCTGCATGTGGCATAGAAAATTGCAACTAAAATGGATCTGATGGAAAAGAATAGAAATAAATTGCAAAATCATTATCAAGTCTCTGTGTTATTTAAAATACATTTGGAAACATTATAATATTGTTATAATGTTCTGATGTTGTATTTGCCCTCTTCACCTGTCTGTCATATTATGGCATAAAATGCTCGGAATCAGTTTTTTTTTTTTTTTTTTTTACATAAAAAGGATTGTTTGGAATTGTGCAGAGTTGTGGATATGTCCTCATGTCTTTGCATGTCAGAGGTGGGAATTAGTAAGAAAATAAGCTCTTATTTGGACCAATTGCTCTTAAAATGTGTCTGCATTTGAAAGCGGTGCAGCAAGTCATAGATCCTAAAGCATGAGAAGTGGATGATTAAAAAGTGCAGGAAACCCGGATTCTATTTAAATGCTTTTTTTTAACAATTTAAGTTGAATTTGTGTTGTAAATTGAATCATTAAAAAACGAAAATAAGGAACTGTTTAATACTCAATGTTTTTCTTTCAACCTACCTCCATTTGCACCTTGAGACTGTCACCCTGTAGTGAGCCGAGGGAATTCAAAGTAGGATTAAATCCAGCTTTGTTCAGCAGCCAATAGGTCTTCTGTACTCCCTTTCCCTGACAGAAAATTGTATTCTGTTCATAAAGTAAGCAACGCACATCTCAAAAAAAAAAGAATAAAAAAAAATGTTGACAAGCCACCTTCATTTCGATGTCCCCTCTTTCTTTCAACTCAAAGGATCCAGCTTGAACAAGAATGTCAGCGGTGGACTGAGATATGTGAATCCTTAGTGCTGTATGCAATAAAAAGAATGGCTTTGGTTACTAAACCATCACTAAATGAAATAGTAACAGGAATACATCTGAATGTCATCAAATTAGAATTTATACTCATTAAAGAATAAATGTCTGTAACATCAAACCAATAACTTTGTCTAGTGTCATCAGGTCTTTTGAATTTTATTATTGTCTGGTAACAGATGTTAATGTTAGCTTATTAGCAGCTGATTGGATGACTTTTCTTTAAACTTTTATCAATATCTTTGAAATAATAGCACTACAAACGAACAAGATCTTGGGTTTTGTTACCAAGATTTAAGTTGGAGTGAGAGTCAGAAGCTTTTTTCTAATGGCAAAATCTAGAAAGTTTGACTTTATTCATACTTTGTAGTCGTGGAATGTATTAATTGTTGTGCAACACTTCAAAGTGGATGTGTTATCTTACTCAATAAATTTGAGGTAAACAGTAAGTCTATGTCTTAATGTCAATGCAATGATATTAAGAGTTTTACTAGTGTTTTTTGCCACTAGTGGAAACATTTCCCTTTCTTTTAAAGAACCATCTTGTAAATAAAATTCACATAGACAGTTTGCTAACACATGTACGAAATTGCAGCTGACTCAAATTCTTCCATTTTTGCCAGATTTGATTTCACTCCCTCTCAGAAACTGCTAGAGCATCTCCATTACAAAAAGTATTACAATAAATTACCGTTCCCTCATCTGTGGAATAGGATTGTGTGTAACTTTTGCAGAAGTCTTAACTCACGTAGGCTGTTACTCTCCATGCGAGAGGCTGTGTTTACTGTATCACCAAAGAGGCAGTAGCGAGGCATAGTGGTACCCACCACTCCAGCAACCACTGGACCTACATGAACCAGTTGAGTACAGATGGACAGTTCAAGAAATGTTTGTGTGGAAATAAATCATGTTATTTCACACTAGCTCTAAACGTTAGTCAAA